AGAATTTGAGTAGCATTTTCTTTATAAAATTTTATCATTTTCTACCTTTTTTCCACTGTATGTTCGCCTTCGAGAATTGCTTCTAGAACTTGTGACGACAAAATTATAAGAACTCGAAGTTGACTCACAAAAAATGTATTTGAGTGCTTCAGGGTTTTTATTCTGTATTTCGTTCCACGTCTTCTTTTTCTTTTTATATTACACTACGATTTCTATTACTCGTTTTAAATAAAGTGTTTATTTCGTATTTTAAAAACATAACTTTTCTTTAAACTTAAAGAAAACTAGTGATAAATACTGAAATAAAGGTTCCGATTTGCCTAAAACTAGAGTGCGTTTAAAAAATAAAAGTTGGACTCTTATCTAATGTAATAGCAATAAAAAGTTGCCGTTTTTTTTTAAAGAAGAAGTACAAAACAAAACTTAAATGCCTTAGAAACAAATGCAAATTAAAACTTTTTTGACATTGCAGCATGCAAATGCGATTTGGAAAATTGCAACTGCTGTAAAGCACGTAAGATTTTTACCACCGAACAAGAATTTCTAATTGACAAGCGAACAAATCGCTAAATGTTTATTGACACAGAAGAAAAAGTGGCAACAAAAAAAACATTAGAAGAAAGAGAAAAGCTGATGAAGTTTTAAAAACAGAACAGTATCAGAAAAATATCTAATATTAGTAACACGGGCATTTCAATATTTTAAGGTAAGATTTATGGAAACAACTGTGAAAGTAAAACAAAAAAAGTTTCTGAAAGTGTTAATAAGTCCGCACTTGGCACTTATATGATTGTATTCAAACCTGCTATTCCACAATCAATGATAAGAACAGGGAACAGACATAATCTCTGGCAGATTTGCTGCAGCCGTAGCATCGGCGATTTTAAAAGACTTATGACTAGTAACAGTAGAGAATATATCCTATATTATCAATAAGTCTAAAGTGTGACACGAGAAAATTAAGTATCAATTGGAAAGTTTTATCGTCAAACAACTACCACAGAACACGCATTATTAATGTAAGAGTCTGGTTTCTCTTACATTGGTCATATACCACCGTCTAAAAGGAAAATGGTTAAACTTAATGAATGTCTGAATGGTTGGGAAAAAATGCAAAAGAAAAAGAAGATTTAATCAAATAATTTATTTAAAAAAATTTCAAAAAGAATGAGTTTTGTATAGCAAGTTCAAAATTAGAAACAAAGTTTCAATAGTTTCTTAGCAGATTCAGCTACAATAATTTCAAATGTTTTAACTTTCTCAAGATTATCTTTGATGCCCGACACCTTTAATATTGATATGGCTTAGTGTATTAGAATAGACAACCTACATAAGTATTTCAGCAAAAGTGCAGATAAGTTTTTATCATGCTAACAAAAGGGTAGCATTTTTAAAGAATCTACTAAAGCTATGCTTTGTGTCATCAGGATAATTAAAATTGGAAACACGCTGCAAGAGACGTGGCTCGCAATGAAACAAGTGAAACGCGCATTCAATGAGTTAAAAACCTTTTAACCCATAAAAGTCTGGAGAGCACTTTAGTAAGAAAACTTACAGAGAAATCTAAACTTACAGAGAAATTTAAACTTACAGAGAAATCTAAACTTACAGAGAAATCTAAACTTACAGAGAAATCTAAACTTACAGAGAAATCTAAACTTACAGAGAAATCTAAACTTACAGAGAAATCTAAACTTACAGAGAAATCTAAACTTACAGAGAAATTTAAACTTACAGAGAAATCTAAACTTACAGAGAAATCTAAACTTACAGAGAAATCTAAACTTACAGAGAAATCTAAACTTACAGAGAAATCTAAACTTACAGAGAAATCTAAACTTACAAAGAAATCTAAACTTATAGAGAAATCTAAACTTACAGAGAAATCTAAACTTGCAGAGAAATTTAAACTTACAGAGAAATCTAAACTTACAGAGAAATCTAAACTTACAGAGAAATCTAAACTTACAGAGAAATCTAAACTTACAGAGAAATCTAAACTTACAGAGAAATCTAAACTTACAGAGAAATCTAAACTTACAGAGAAATCTAAACTTACAGAGAAATCTAAACTTACAGAGAAATCTAAACTTACAAAGAAATCTAAACTTACAGAGAAATCTAAACTTACAGAGAAATCTAAACTTGCAGAGAAATCTAAACTTACAGAGAAATCTAAACTTACAGAGAAATCTAAACTTACAAAGAAATCTAAACTTACATAGAAATCTAAACTTACAGAGAAATCTAAACTTGCAGAGAAATCTAAACTTACAGAGAAATCTAAACTTACAGAGAAATCTAAACTCAGAAAAAAAGTATTGGAATGACATACTGATGCCTATTCTTACTGTTATTAAAATGTTAGCATCGTGTGGGTTATCATTCCGTGGCAGTTACAAAACTCTGCGTTCTGTCCACAATGGCAAAAATTTAAGGTTGCTTTAAGCTAATTACTGAGTTTAACCTATTTCTTGCCAAATATATTCAGAATAAGCAAACAATCTTCATCTTAATAGAGTTGTTTAAAAGCCACTTGATATGTCTACCTTAATGGTTACTTGATACTATAGATAGAATTATGGCGACTCAAAAGATCTAGAGTTATAACCCTCTGATTAGTTAAAAGCTAAGTGTTTTTTGCTTATAGACGTCTAATGGTTAGTTACTTTTAAATAGAGGTCTAATATATATGACACAATCAGTAAAAGGTTTACTTTTCATTAAAATCTAAAATCATTGTCCAATTAATGCATGAGAGATTATGTTTTGTTTGCATGTAAAATATGTTTTAAAGAAAACTGTTATGAAAAATTTATTCACTTCACTTCTCTTGTTGCCAAATTTCCCCTGCCCAATGAAAATGATTGTGTTGAATTCTTTCTTTCTTTTTTATTCACTTCACTTCTCTTTTCTGCCAAATTTCCCCTGCCCAATGAAAATGATTCTTTTTTTCAGTCATTAAAGAAGTAAAAAATGAACTTAACAAATTATTTAGCATTAATATGCCTTATAAAATGTAATTTTTTGACATCATCAACCTAAAAATTATATATATTTGCTTATATTGCTAAATGTTATCGTGTTCTATTACTACATAAATATTGTTAATTATGCTTTTGTAATGTTAGACTGAATAAAGGGCTTACATTAAGTTTACTTCTCTGTTTTCCAAATTGTCACCGCACAATAATCTTTATCCTGAAAAACATATTTAAAAACAAATCACATAGTAAAACAACAATATCTTATGAATATTTCAATGCACAGTAATAAACGTTGAGTTAAATAATTTGTATGTGTGGATTTAAAATATATCTTATTTTATTTTTTACTTAATTTTTCGTTTTTATATTCATTTGTTGTAGTTTTCTTCCTTTGGTAAAAGTTAACGCATTGTCATTGTGTTATACATACTCTACTGTCCGAAAAGAAGTTATAGGGACAATAGTATAAGGGGGCACCCTGCAGCCAGGTTTCTTGGCATAACTTCGCTTCCGCTCAGCATTTTTAGGTGAGTCACATTAGGTTCTCCTATATTTATTGCCCCAGGCCAAAAAATAACTTCCAGCCCTGATAACAATAAAAGTAATAATGATAATAATAATAACTAATATATTTACAATGACATAAATAAAAATAACAGTAATAATGTATTTTTAGGAAATTTTTAGAATAGCTTAAAACTTGTAAAACTTAAGCAAAATAATTTAAAATATTGATACAATGTTTTAAAGCTTGATGGAGGAGAGTGTAATGAAAGCTTATAACGAGCGTCTTGTATGTGAGTATAGTCACGTCTATATAATATTTTTTCATTATATTATTAGGTGCTTTATCTTTATCTAAATATTTTATACTTTTAGTTAAAAAAATATAAATCTAATTAGAATCAATATTCACCAGCTATTCCTAAGTAGAGAAAAAATTTTTATATTTTCAAAGCTGTTTGATGTTATATATTCTTTTGCTTCTATTTTTATAGATATTTTCTAATAGATATAAACCAAAAGTAGTTTTGTAAATAAGCAACAAAAAATAAATTGATATTAAATTCAAGTTTTTGACAGCAAAATATTTAAAAACAGCAGGGTCTTCTTTTGACTAACAATCTTATAAGTTCCTTTTTAATAAGTGATTCAATTAAATTTAAACAATTTTAAATTGAACGTGCACTCAAAAAGTTTCGCTTTAAAATAGTGAAAGTGTATTAGAAAAACAATGTCACATGAGACTTTCATGGATGCATAATATTTTTATGTTACAAAAATACTGCAACTAAGGATGGAAATAAGAAATGATATTGTAAATTAACAAATACGCTAAAAGCATTAAACATTTTATTTAGTTAAATAAATAATAAATATAATTAAAAAAGTCTAAAAGTAATAAGAAAAAAGTATAGTAATGAAACATAAACGACGTAAAGTTTATTTGCATAAACAGTAGTTCAATCTAAAGAGATTGATGAATGTTTTAATATAAACTATTGATTTGATATTTTATAGTGATTTGGGAAATCTATAAAAAGAATTTTAGAAGAACCCCAACTTTTTATTTTTCTAACGTTATGAAATATTCTTTTTATAATCCATTACAAATTTACAATCTTAAATGCAAAAGTAATAAAGTTTGCATTTGTAAAAATAACAAATGCAAATTTTATTACTTTTGCTACTTATTTAACTATCAAGTACAGTCGTCTTATCCACAAACCTAAACACATCATTCCTATTTAAAAAAGTAAAATACAGCAGATATTTTTTAGAAATAAAATTTTAAAGTAAATATTCTAAAAATATTTTAAACCCGTCTGGCATTTTGTAAGAGCTTGGTTTTAACCAATTTTGGAGAAGTTTGTCATATTTGTAAAATTCTCGAAATAAGGTTAAAAATATACACAATGAATTTCTTAGATTATTTATTTAACCTTTGAGCAAATATCACGCGATGTTCTTAAAAGTCTTTGCTATAAAAAGGCCAAATTTTCAATATTTTTAAAGGCAGTCGGTAAAATGAGGTCAACTTCTTTAATTTTTTTTTGTGGCGATAGTAGCACTGACATACGCTAGAAGTAAGTGACAAAATATCTTTTTTAGTAAATAAAAAAAAAAAAACATTTAGTAATAAGGAAGTAAAATATATATATATATATATATATATATATATATATATATATATATATATATATATATATATATATATATATATATATATATACACGCACAGATTATATCGTTTACGGGTTTTTATAATTGCTTTAAATTTTTGTAAAATTTGTAAACAATTTATAAATTTATAAAAAACTTATCTGCAGGCTATGAAGATATAAAAGAAGAAATAAAAAATGAAGTTGAAAATGAAATTATGGACAATCTTGAAGAAGAAAACGATGAGTTAGATGACAATTCTCAAGGTGATATATGTATTAAGTTTTTTCAAATAAATTTATATTATATATATATATATATATATATATATATATATATATATATATATATATATATATATATATATATATATATATATATATATATATATATATATATATATATATATATATATATATATATATATATATATATATATATATATATATATATATATATATATATATATATATATATATATATATATATATATATATATATATATATATATATATATTTACGTATAAATATATATACATATATACGTATATGCAAGCTTTTAAATAAACTATTTAGCAGAAGTCAATGATCCAAGAGCACGAAGATGGCGCCGAGCATTCCGTCGAATCCGTATCAGACAGGTAGTTCCATATATACCACATCTAATAAAAGCTTACCAAACCGGCAAAAAGTAATAGCAAAAATGAATGGAAAATCAAATGAAAAAAAAATAGTTGAAGATTTTAAATTAAAGTTAAAAAAAACATGAAATTAAATTAGTTAAAGATTTTGTAAAACTTTTTTCATAAAAACCAAATAAATAAAAGTAGTTTTTTGTTGTTTTTATATTTATTACTTCCAGGTATAAAGTTTATTAGACATGATATTTATTAGATAAAAAATATTTTAATAGCAGATAATAAAAGATCAAGTGATTCTTACACCAACAGCTTCTGAAAAATTAAAAAAATAAATACAAAAAGTATCGTAAATTGAATTCAATAAAAATTGAATAAAAGTACATCTATATATATAAATAAACAATATTATATTACTCTTACCCGTAAAAATACGGGTCTTTATAAGTCTATTCCATACTAAACTTTTATATACTTTTTTCTTATATATATATCCTAGCTTTCCGGACCCATAAATTATATGGGTCTAAACCAAGTCTACCATTTCTATACTTATCTATTCCACACCGATCATACCTATTATTTTTACGTGAAATAATTCATTTAAAAAAATTCCTTTAAGACCAAAAAAGTTAACATGCGCACCCCTTCAGCATACCTAGAACATATAAGAAATTTATTATTAGGTTTGTTTTTCTCCTAAACCCATATTGTTGATATGTCAGTGGTTTAGTGCGCTTTCACCAGTGTCGTTTTGGGGGATTAAAGATATCCCCTTATAAATTTTGAAAATTTTTAATTCTTTCTGTATTTATAGCAATATTTATAGCAAAAATTCTATAACAATGTCGCAGTTAATTATCATTTTCTAATAGCAATATTTTTTTATAACAGTAAAGCAGAACCAAGAATATTTTAGAGCATTATAAACTATAGGCTATAAAACGCTAAGGAATCGCCCACAAATTACGCAACGCTAAAATTCTTTTTAAAAATGGAGAAGAGATCTTCAGTTCTTTAGGATGGCAATTTTCATTAAACTTAACGAGCTATATTGGTTTTTTTATTTAACATACAACTCTGCGAAGAAAAATGTTGATCATTTTAGTTTCCTTCAACTGTGAAATTTAGCGTTGCGTAATTTACGGACGACCCCTTTTTTTTAAAGTTTAGATAAAGGATCAGCCGAAAAATATATAAAGTCAAAAAATAATAGAGTATAATACTCTTGTATCAATATTAAATAACTTTAACTTTTAAATGTTTTTAAAGGTAATTAGTTTAATAAAATAGTTTAATTTAAATATAAAACTAGAATTTTTAATTAAGTTATTATAAAAAAACATCAGTTTGCTTCATTTTTAATTTTGGTTACTTTACAAAAATAAAAGTTAAAATAATTAATATACCAAATATCATTATATAAGTTCTTTTTGAAGACGTAATTTAATAACATAAATATTGTTAGTTATTTTTGAAATGCATACTTGAATATTTTTATCATATGCATTATATATATTTGATACCTAATGTTATATTTAAAGTATACTGGTTCACAATAAAATGTATTAACATATGGTATAACTAGAAGTTCAAACCTCTTGACTTCATTCACACAAATTTAGATGTTTCCAAATTTAGATGTTTCCAATGTAATCGCAAGCGCTTTAATTGTGAAATCGACAACAACTGCCTCGTTCGCTATAATTTCTTCAATAACCGCGTCGCTCACCCATGGAACGCACTGCCAAACAAAGTTGTCAGTGCTATCAGTGTCGACCGTTAAAGCAAAACTCGATCAGCTACCATAATTGCTTCAGCACATCATCTGCCGTGCAATTTGGCCTGAGCTAGCACGGCTAGCTGTTGATGGGTTTACGGAAACATGCCCGTTCCGTACAACTTAACAATTTAACTACAAAATGTTCAATTACGAAAAATTATACAATAATTGGTTAATGCAGGCAGCAATGTTCATTATATGTTTTTTTTTTCTTTTCTTTTATAAGCGAAACGCCTATAGGCATAAATAGGCTCATATTTTTCTAAAAAATAAACATAGATAGCATAGATAAACCATAGATAAGCATATTGTTGAGCCTTGATAAACCATTTAAATAGCTAAAAAAATTAATATAAAATATTTAATTAAAAATTTAAACCTTTTAAATAATAACATGAGCATGTTCGAACCTGTTTCGAATATTTCATATGATTATTAAAAAATAAAAAACATGCAGCACAAAACATTATTTTTATATATGCATACACAATATTATTAAAATTTGCTAATTAAGTGTAAATAATTTAGATTTTGTATAAATTCTTCAGCTTTTGTCATGAATCTCACTGTTAATAAAGTTAACTGTCGTGAATCTCGCTGTTAATAAAAAGTCCGTCATACGATTGGTTTGAACCTCTCAAGGTAAACTTGAAAAATGTTCAGAAATTATTAAGTTCATAAAATTTTCTGAATTTAATTAAATTTTTTTAACTCGTAATCAACATTGACGTATCCGGGGGAAGGAACAGGGATTATAGAGGGTATACATTTCCTTCCACCAAAATCTGAAAGTTTTAAAATATATTAGAAACGGAGAAACTTTTTTTTTAGGAGACTCAGATGAGACCTCATTTGAATTACTAAGAGGTGTGCAGAAGGTCAAACAAAAACAATGGCTAATTAAAACAAACCATTCCACATTGTTAAAACTACATTGTCGAACAATGCAAAGTTCATCCATACTCCTTAAACTTATAGAGATGAACCCTAAATGTATAAAAATATTGAATACTGACAATCAAAAAAAGTTACACTTTAGCTATTGCATATGTGCTTAACATTTAGATTTGATTAAAATTTGCACTATTTAACCTTAATTTTTTTTTTGAAACATTCCTTTAAATATTTCCTGAAGTAGCCGTTCACAACTCATTAAATTTTAAACCGCTAACCAAATTTAGTGTAATTAGTAATGATTGCGAATCATTAACAATTGAAGTTATAAATAAAATCACTAAAAACATCATTGTACATGTTGTGTACACAGGGCCGTCCCGAGCGGGGGCGTAGGGGGTGGCTAGCCCCCTACAAATTTAATTAGTCGGCTAATTAGACACTAGAGTAGGCGAAATTGGATTTATAGTTGACAGACGGCAAATGTCGGAAAACGAGGACCTTTTTTATTTTTTGGTAAATTGGTAGACAAAAATTTTTTTTTGGCTTTTGTCGGCAAAAAACAGACACGGTACCCCCCTCCTTTAAAACCACTTCGGGACGGCCCTGTGTGTTGCATCTCCGACATAAAACACCCCCTGCCTTGGGGCTCTTGGTTGAGTAAACGCTAGAATTGATGTCTCGATAAAAATACTCATCTTGGGCAGATGTTAAATGCATCCGGCTTCTGTCTTGTAGAAGGCCTTCTAGGCAAAGACTTAAGGGGTAAACAGATTCTATCTGTTGACCAGCCTCGCACCCCTTCTTCATCTATTAGGCTGGCGCAGATGTGTTTTTAATACATTGTTTCCAGTTTAGGATGTTGAACGCTGGATCTTCTTGACTCGATTCATGTGTTTTGGTTGTATCCCTGTTTTTATGACTAGGCAACTCATTCTATTATCTCCAAATGAGGGTGCAGCTCTAAAACTCAGTTTTATGGTTCTGATGCCGGCTGGTAGTCAGGTTTCCCGAAATCTGTGGTAGCTCTCAGAGAGGATGATTCCATCAACAGCTGAAAAATATCAGAGTACTAACAGTGCCATGTTGCGCATGGATGGTGTCCATGTTTGTTACGGCTTAGGACTTATTAGTGATAACGAGGCAATTGTTTGAGCTATAAAACAGTGTACTGAGTACTATCTATGTTTCGAGTCAAGTTCTTTAACTAATTTAAAAATGAATAAAGTAACAAAACTATAAAACACAAAAAACCACAGTCATCACCAAGTTCGCTAAACCTATCATTCACAAATATTCGTGGTCTTCGAAGTAACTTTTCTTCTGTTGAGTCTTATCTCTTGCAAAGTTCACCAGACCTACTTGCTCTTTGTGAGACTAATTAGAGTTCAGCTGTCTCATCTTAAGATCTTAGTGTTGATGGTTATCTTCCTTTAATTCGTAAAGATTCCAATAATCACATGCTTGGCCTGGGCATTTACATTCGTAAGAATTCACCCATTTGTCGGGAAACTAGGTTTGAATCAATAGACTACTCTTTTATGTGCTTTCGTTTAGCACCACTTCACTCTATCACCTTTCTCTTTGTTCTATATCGCTCTCCCTTATCTCAAGACTGCACTCTTCTTGATGTTATTTCTGATTATATTGACCAAGCCCTCATTCTTTATCCATCAGCCGATATTGTTGTTGTCGGTGACTTTTATGTTCATCACACTGAATGGCTTGGCTCTAGTGTCAGTGACTCTGCAGGCATTAAGGCCCACAACTTTTGTCTTTCTCAATCCCTAACTTAAATAGTCAACTTTCCAACTCGCTTTCCAGACAACCCGAATCATTTACCTTCTCAACTCGACTTATGTCTTGTTTCTGATCCTGTTTAGAGCTCAGTTTTCCACACTCACCCTTAGGTGCTTCTGATCATGGTTTTGTCTCTCTAAAACTATCATCTCATTCTTCTTTACCATCAGAATCCCCCTATTATTGTACATCTTACAACTACTTTAAAGCTGACTGGTACTCTTTCCGTGATTTTCTTCGTGATGGCCCCTGGGTAGAAATCTTTCGTCTTCCTGTTGACAAATGTGCTTCTTACATAACTTTGTGGATTCAGGCTGACATGGAATCCTTTATTCCCTCTCAACGATTCCAGGTCAAGCCTCACTCTTCTCCATGGTTTTCCTCACATTGTGCTGCTGCAATTGCCAATCGAAACCATTACTTCCATATCTATCAGCAAAGCAATTCTCCAGAAAACAGACGTCTTTTTATTTCTGCTAGGAACGATTGTAAAAAGGTTTTGTCTAACGCCAAAGCCCGCTATTCTCAGATCATGAAATCTTGTATTTCATCACAAAAATTAGTCTCTCTTGACTTCTGGAGAATCTTTAATAGTATCAATAATAAGGGCAAGTCTGTAATTCCAGCTCTTTTGTATGGTTCAGACTTTGTCACCTCATCTAAAGACAAAGCTGAATTGTTTGCCAAGAACTTTTCATCAATATCATCTCCTGATGCCACTAGTTGCATTCTACCTGATATAGCCGTCAAACAGGTTGATCCATTGCTCGACATTTGTATCACTCCAGCTTTTGTATCTAAAGTGATTTCCCGCTTAGACTCTTCTACAGCTTGCGGCCCGGACAGCATACCTGTTAGTCTTGCAGAAGTGATCTCCGAGGCTGTCGTCTATCCTTTCAAAGCTATTTAACAAGTGATTATCAGAGTCTTGTTTTCCAGCCTGCTGGAAAGCAGCACCTGTTATCCCTATTTTAAAAAGATCTGGACAGCGATCCGACTCGTCTAACTACCGTCTCATTAGTCTTCTTCCTATCATAAGCAAGGTTTTTGAATCTTTAATTAACAAACACTTAATCTCTCATATCGAATCTCATAACCTACTTTTTGATCATCAATATGGATTTCGATCTTCTCTTTCTACGGCTGATTTGCTATCAGTAATAACCGATAGGTTTTATTGCGCATTAGATAAAGGTGGAGATGTTAAGGCCATTGCTCTTGACATTTTTAAAGCGTTTGATAAAGTTTGGCATACTGGTCTCCTCCATAAGTTTTCTTCTTACGATGTATCTGGAAACATCTTTAAGATTATTGAATCTTTTCCAATCGTAGTACAAAAGTTGTCCTTAATGGACAGCACTTTTCTTTTTATTCTGTAACCTCAGGGGTTCCCCAAGGTTCAATCCTTGGCCCTATACTCTTTTTAATTTACGTTAACGATCTTCTAGATATTCTCACATCTAAGGTGGCATTGTTCGCTGATGATACTACCATTTATTTTTGTCACGATAAGAAGCCATCTCCCTCTGTTTGCTTGCATGGGGCATCTGAGCTTGAAAAAGATCTCACTTCTGCTACAGCATGGGACTTACAGTGGCTGGTGAACTTTAATTCAGATAAAACTCAATTTTTTTTGGCCAATCGTTATCGCAATAATTTAGACCTTCCTATATTTATAAACAGTAATGTACTCGATGAGTCTCCTACCCTTCATCTTCTAGGAGTAACTCTTACTTCTGATCTTTCTTGGAAACCTTATATCAAATCCGTTGCAAAATTAGCTTCTGCTAAAGTTGCTTTTCTTTATCGAGCTTGTCACTTTCTTACTATAGATTCTATTCTCTATCTCTATAAATCTCAAAACCGGCCTTGTATGGAATACTGTTGCCATATCTGGGGCGGATCTTCTAATGATGCTTTTTCTCTTTTAGACCAGGTGCAAAAATGCATTGTAAACATAGTTGGACCTGCTCTTGCAGCCAACCTTTTGCCTCTTTCACATCGTCGTAATGTTGCTTCTTTTTCTCTTTTCTACTAATACTATAATGGGCACTGCTCAAAAGAGCTAGCGTCTCTAATGATATCTACTAAAATTCATGCTCGTGTTACTCGTCACTAAATTAAATCTCATCCTTTTTCTGTTACTGTTCCTAAGTGCTCCAAAAACTCTTATTCGTCTAGTTTTTTTCCTCGAACATCAGTTCTTTGGAATTCGCTTCCTTCATCTTGCTTTCCTGATTCATATAATTTGCAATCTTTTAAGTCGTCTGTCGATCATAATCTTGCTCTACAATCTTCATCTTTTTTCTTCCAGTAACTTCCAACACTAATAAGTGGTTGCTTGCAGCCTTGTTGGAAGCGAAGATAATTAAAAAAAAAAGAAAAAAAGTTGATTTGTTCTGGAGATATTCTTCATCTTTCTCTTCTTTAATTGGTAACGGATTAAATTCTATATCCGTTGGTACTTTTTTCATGTGTGAAGCATTCGGAGTTTTTTGAGAATTGTCGACGGGAGATTTTGCAGTGATCATTGTACCATTCTTTGCAGTAATTGTGTAGGGTTTGAACTCGATTGGTGCCGTAATTTTGTTATATTTTTTTTGTTTTATCAGTACTGTATCCCCGATATTTAAACTTGGATTTTTTGCGTGGTATTTTTTTCTGTATAACTTAGCATTTTCTTGTCTCTTCTTGGCTTGATCATTGATATTTGTATCGAACCTTGTTTGGAATGAAGGTATTGTAAAATCTGTAACGCGATTAAACATGAGTGTAGATGGTTATATTCGGGTTGTGCAATAGGGTGTAGTACGGTAGGAAAACAGGAAGTTGTATAATTGCTTTTTCCAGTCTTTCCGTTCAATGTGTGCTGCTCGTATTGTTTTAATCAGTGGTTTCATAAAAGATTCGGCTTGTGAGTTTGCTTGCGGCCAAAGCGGGGTGATTTGTTTATGTTGAATATTCAGTTTATTCAAAAACATTTTTATTTTGAATGAAGTAAAAAGTGGTCCATTATCGCTGACAATCGTTTTCGGTATTCCATATACTGCAATCGTTTTTTGTAGAAAATCAATAAGGAGGTCAGCAGATGTATTATGTATAATATCGACAACCGGAAATTTTAATGTTTGGTCTATAAGGACTACCAAATAAAATTCATTAGGTAAAGGACCAAGGTAATCTATATTAACGGTGTCCCAAACTTCCTCTGGTGTTGGTGTGATTAATAGTTGGGCTGGTGCATTTTGTTTACCAAGGATTTGACAAATTGCACACCGTTTTATATATTCTTCTACTTTAGTGTCTAGACCAGGAAAGTAAACTTTTTCCCTAAGTAATGATTTGGTTTTCTCAAGTCCCATGTGACTATTATGAGCAAGCTGTATAACCGTCATTTCCTGAGAACGTGGAAGTACAATTCGATTTGCTTTAAGAATAAGGTCTGAAGTCTTATTTACTGTAATTTCTTGGCGTATATTACGGTAAGCAAGTAAGTCTTTTTGAAATTTTTTTAGTTCTGGCGGACAATTCGGATATAATAGTTTATGCCAGGTATTAGAAGTAATTAACTCTGTAAGTATTTGTAGAATAGGATTAGCTTTAGTTTCTTTTTGAATATCCAGTAGTGAAAGGGCTTTAGGACATGCGTATTCAGCTGTAAAATTGACATATTTTTCTAGCCCTTCGTCCTCACATGGGTCTACAGGGTGTCGACTAGAATAATCAGATATATTATTTTTTCCTTTTACGTAGTATAGATCAAAAGGATATCCCTGTAATCGTAAAGTCATTCGCTCAATGCAAAGTAGTACTTTAGCGTTTAGGTTGTTTAAAATCTTTACAATAGCTTCATGGTCGCTGTACATTTTAAAAGGGTGTCCAAATAGGTATGTTTTGTTATGCTCGCAGGCGTATACTATAGCTAAACATTCTCTTTCGAGCGTCGAGTAGCGTTGTTGTACAGGCGATAGCGCTTTCGAATTATAAGATATTAGTTTAAAATCTTGTTTATTTGGAGTGTTTTGAACAATGACTGCCAATATGCCTACAAGACTTGCATCGGTGAAGACAGTAGTCTCTTTGTTGGGATCGAAGTATCCGACACATGAGTCCAATGTCATAGCGTTTTTTAGTTTGTCAAATGCATGCTGACACTCAAGGTTCCAGTTCCATAAGGAATCTTTATGCAGAAGGTTTCTCAATGGATAAGTAATTGTACTGTAGTGTAGAATGAAACGTTTAAAATAGTTCATAAGCCCGAGAAAACTTTGGAGAGCTTTAGTGTTTTCTGGTGTTGAAATGTTCTTGATATTATAAAGTTTTTCCGTATCTGGTTGCATCCCTTCTTTTGAAAATATAAATCCATAAAATTTGACTTTTTCTTTTCCAAATAAGCATTTTTCAAAATTCAGAGTTAAATCTCTCTGTTTAAACCTTTCTAATACTTTATGTAATATTAAATTGTGCTACTTTGTATTCGAAGCGAAAATTAAAACATCGTCGGCAATGTTCAAAGTACCTTCTATATCTTTTAAAACTTCTTGTAAAGCGTTTTGTAGTTCCTCCTGCGCGGAGTTTACTCTAAAATTAAGTCTTTTAAAACGTTTAATTTGAATTTCGTTTTGAAAAGTAGTTATTGATCTGGATTCCGGTGCAAGTTTGAGCTGGTGAAATGCCTTCATTAAATCTAGTTTCGAGAAAACGGCGGAGTCTTTTAGTTTTATAAAAACATCGTCCAGGGTTGGAGTTGGAAAACGCGTTAATAGCTTTGTTAGCTGTTCGCATGTCTACGCAAATTCTTAGGTTGCCGTCATTTTTTGGCACAATTACAATTGGACTTATCCAGGGTGTCGCTTCGTCTGTTACCGTTTCAATTATTCCTCCTGCTTCAAGTTTTGCAAGTTCAACTTTAACCTTTTCTCTAAGTGCAAAAGGAATTCTTCTTTCTCTTTGTGCGACTGGTAGTATACTTTCATTTATTTTCAATTTTACTTGGTAGTTGAAGAGTTTTCCTATTTTACCGCTAAAAACAGAATTTTTGTATGAGTTTATAAGTGGTTCTAATCGTTTTGGAGCCTTTAGAAGGAGAGTATTGTTTAATTTGCTTAAGTTCTGCAAAGAATGGCTAACTTGTTGTTTACTGTCGTCATGGTTATTTTGTTCTCTTTGGCCTTTGTTTAAAAGTTTCTTATTGACGTCAATATTTAGTTGTATTAAACCGAGTAACTTAGCGTTATTTCCAGATAACAGATTTTTGTGGTGTGTTTTAACCACGTGGAATGTGGACTGACGAAATTTGGTTTGAGTTTCTATCACGACATTGATCTGTCCTTCTATTTTGAGCTTTGGATTGTTATCCTCGTAAGCAATAATCTGTGTTTTAGATTTTTGTAGTCGAAGTGGTCTTTTAAGGAAGTCGTTTATCTTTTCAAATGTTTTAAAGTTTAGAATGTTTATCGAAGCTCCGGTGTCTATTAGAACGGTTATTGGTATATTTTCTATGTTAATCGTTACCTCGAAGTTCTCAAGTCCGTCGTTAGATATCTGTTTGGCATTGACAGAGTACAATTCTCCTTCGTTTAATTTTGACTGAGGATTTTCGGATTCATTGATAACTTTGTAAATTGTATTTAATGGTTTCGTATAACCTTGTTTATTTCTTTTGTATTTCTATTGATGCATTCTTGAATTCTGTTCGTTTTGTTTTCTAGTTTTACAGACTGTCGCAAAACGTCCGATTTTCCCGTAGGAGTGCCAAGATTTCCCCAAAGTTAACCATATATTTGTGTGTGGAAATTCGTTTCCACATTAGTAGCAAGTTCTTTTTAGCGACTTAGTTTCTGTCTCATGTGGCGCTTGACTGGTTTGTGGAAATTTTGTTTTCTTAACTGTATTTACTTCTTTTTGTTTTATCTTTTCTTTCTCAAGTTCTTCTATTTGATGGTCCATCAGCTCAAATGTTTTGGCAGTAATTAACAAGTCCTGTAGAGTTTTGTTAGGATTTTGGAAACTGAATTTCCGAAGTTTTGAAATATTTGTACAAAGCTCAATTTGTTGTTTAATTTCTTTATCCTTATCAGCAAACTCGCATTTGATAGCTTGTTTGTTTAATCGAACGAAAAACTGCTGAGTGGTTTCGTCTATACGTTGAGCCGTCTTGGGAAAAATAAAGATTTCATAGCTCATATTTACATGGGGCTTGAAATGTTCGTTAAAAGCTTCGACAGCTTGTTGGTCAGTGGCAGATTGAGGTTTAGTGTCGCGGAGGGGGGGGGGCAAAGTCAATGAATAGGGGCGACCGAGGTTGTCTTAAGTAACTTGATCTTATAATTTTTTTTTTGACTGTCTTAGGGGGCGCCGTTAGACCGTTTTAGGGGGGCCTGGGGAGCAACTCGCCTCCCCCCCACGCCCTATACTAAATCCGCCACTGTTGTTGGTATGTGATTAGCGTATCTTGAGGTATAATGTTTTCATAAATTTCGTAAGTGTTATCTCCAATTAAAGTTAGAAGTAACAAAAGTTTTTTTTTATCGTCTGTAATTACAAGTGAACCGCAAAGTAGCTCAAATTGTTTAATGTATCGTTTCCAGCTTGAAAATAACTTACTTGCTTCTTCAGTACATGAAAAGGGTGGAAAGTTTGATAAATTAAGGTTCTTTATAGCCATGGATAAATACGCTTTTTACTAAAATATTCGTTAATTTTTTTTTTCATTTTAAATTTCTTTTCTTTTATCTTCGTCGCCAATTTAATGATAAACTACAACATTTCTTATCGCTTATTTTTTATATAATGCCTTTATAAAGTTACTATAACGTAAATATAGTTTTAATTAAGATCTCCATCTCGGAGCACATTCTTACACTGGCAAAAACAAATTTTTTGAAAAACGCTTTAAAAACCTAATTAAAATTAAAACCTTATGTGGAAAACGCGTCTTTTTTGTGGGGGATTTTAATAATAATGTGCTCGATTACGACACAAATAAAAATGTAAAAAATTTTATGAACATCATATTTCAAAATGGTTTTATTCCAACAATAAATAAACCAACACGAATTACTAGGAACAGCGCAACCTCAATTGATCAAATAATAATTAATGAATATACTAAAAACAAAATAAAAACTGGAATAATAATATCTGATATATCGAATCATTTCCCAATATTTATAATCGCACATAAAGTTATCAAACACACCCCTCAAAAAAAACATTACAAATCGAATATACAAAGACATTTCTATGGAACTTTTTAATAATTCTCTATTTTCTGAAAACTCGGACGAAATTTTGCAAATTCAAAACACAGATACTGCTTATATCAGTTTTCTTCGGATATTCAAAAAACACTATGATAAATCTTTCGCGGTGGTAGCAAAAATTATTATAACTAAAACATTTATAAGCCCTTGGATTACACCAGGAATCATAAAATCATCAAAAAGAAAACAAAAACAAAAAACGATTGTATGAAGTGTTTCTGAAAAAAAGAACTTATGAAAATGAATTAAAGTATAAAAATATCAAGGTCACTTTGAATCAATTATAAAACTTTTAAAAAAGTTATACTATTCAAATAAAATAAAATTTAAAGGCGATACTCAAAAAACGTGGCAAGTCATTAAAGAAGTAATTGGAAAAAAAACACTTAAGCTAAATGGTCTTCCAAAAAAACTAAATTATCATCACCTTGATATTACAACCCAGCAAGCACAATCAACGTTGAATCAACGTTAAAAAAAAAACTTAAGGTTGAAAATGGTTGATTTTTGGTTGAAATGGAAACACAAATCAACGTTGAAAAATCAACGTTAGATTAACATTGATTCAACCAACTTAAATATGAGTTTGTAAACCTCAAAAATACAGCTTTTTGCACCGTAACTCTTTTAATCCGAAAAAACATTTATTTTTTGTACAATATTGTGTTGTTATGAGTAAGAAAAGAAACAATAATTTTTCATAAACTTATAATACCTGTCGTAGTACAATATCTTATGCTATTATACTGCACATTGTTCTTAATTTTCGCAGCTTTCATTTATTATTATTAGTAGTATTATTAATTTATTTTATATTATAATTCTAGCTGCTGTTATAGTATTACAAATAATCTGCCCTTTACCATTTTTTTAACGCAGGTAACTAAGTTATAGAAATTGAAAAGCCGTTATTTAAAGCAAATAAAACCAAAAAAATAATTTATACATTTTTATAACAAAAAGCTATAAAAAATTAAAATTATTTTCAAAATGATCTTAATAAATCATGATATCTTTATCTTCAACACCGATATCAAACTCATATGTGTTTTTATCGCCTGCTGTCATCAGACTCATTTTGTTTTGACGCACATTTCTCACGATCCAATTAATATGGTCAACGTTCAAACAGTCTAAATTCTATCTTTTTGCATTGTGTCTTTTTATTTAAGAACATCAGGTAACTGCATTGAAATAAAAATAACTTCAAAGTAAGGTACATTTGTACATTTTTAAAAGTATTATTATACTTTACATTGTTCATAAGCGAATGTGAACATTAAGTGATCAAAAGTGTGAAAAAAAAAACAACCCATAACTGATCCATGCTTAATTTACTTCATCATTGACCGAGATATCAACCTACTTGAATAAAGATACATTATACATTAACGTCATACATTCACGTATATACACGCTTAAGTCAAACATTTGTTTAGTAGAACTGTTTTCCTTGGTCTCCTGGAGGGTTAAGATATCTGTACTTAACTTTATTTATACATATATATATGTATACAATTATACACATATATGTATAAATACATACCCAGTGGGCACCGGACCAAAAAAAGACGTCTTTTGAAAGTTCAAAAGACGTCCAAAACGTTCAAAAGGCGTTCAAAAGACGTTCAAAAGACGTCCGAAACGTGCATAAGACGTTTAAAAGACATCTTTTTAACGCCCGTGCCCACAGGGAAATGTGATTTGATACTCAACGGATATATTGAAATATCAAAAAAAAAAAAGAAAGAAAGTTAGGGAAAAAGCTGTTTGTAAACAGCTTTTTCCCTAACTTTCTTTCTTCTTTTTAATAAATTTTTTGCTGTTTTGAAGTCTATGTTAAGAAATCTTAGCTC